AAGTTACATTCATAACTTAATGAAGAGAATAACTTAATGAAGACCATATGTAATATGAACTATAAACAAATTACTCTAAATTAGCTTGTGCATAGTTATTTACTACGCTACAAACTTTATGTGGTTTCCGTAGTGTAGTGGTTATCACGTTCGCCTCACACACAAACTTTATGCACACATATTTATGACTTCCAATGCACTGCAAATCTTTGGAACCCTTAGCAGCATGGCTAAAGAAAGTTTTCTTATTTTTTTTTTCTTCTCTACTTCAGTCCTGATATCCCATTATCTGTTGCTACCCTCTTTAATATAAGTTTGTTGGAATGGTCACTTCTTTATATTCATTACAACTAATTTCAAAGTATTTCATGCTCTTGTTCACTAACCATTGAAAACTTTGATTTTAGAAAAGCAAAATCTTCCCCAATTGCATTTCTACAACTTTGTCAGTCTATTAATAACTTTAAAATTTGTTCAGGAGTTCCTCATGAAAGGCCCATTGACAATTACTTAACCTGGGAATCATGCTGATTGGCAGACTACAGAGTTCCACTGGTTTGTGACATGCTGAAGAGGTTCTTATCTAATACTTGGTCATAAAACAAATTACATTTTCTTCTATTAGCCTTAGAGTTTTACCTTTCAGCTTAGCTTTAATCCATTTGGAGTCCACCTTGTCCCTGCCGTTCTTCCCTATGCTTCATGCAGATTCACCCTGCCTTTGCGGAGCTCTGCTAATGCCACGGAGGCTTTAGTGTACTTTCACAAGACGAGGAGCTTTTGTTGGGGGCATTATTGCATTCTCCCAAATCAAACTCTATGTTCAAATCCTCTTTCTGCCACTTAACAAATGCATGATATTCAACAAGTTAACTTAATCTTTATAAGTTTAAGTTTCATCTTCTATAAATGAAGTTCGTAATAATAATGCTCACTTATAAGGTTATTGTGAGCATGAAATGAGATAATGCACATAACACACTTAGTGCAGCACCTGGTACATAATAAATGCTCAATAATGATCACAGTTACTACCACTGATATCCCAACAGTGTTTCTCCTGAGGCTTCCTATATTTTAAGGTCATTTTTGCCAATTATTGGCATTTATTACATTCATTTTACTAATTTAAGTCTCAAAATGTAACTGTATTTCTAAGTTTAACTATTGACTTCTAACTAAATGCAGAGACTTTTGTAGTATCTCCCAGGTTTTATCTAATCTGAAGTTTTATAAATTCCCGTATATCTGAACCTAAAGCAGGTAGGGCCGTATTATGACTTCTTTGCTTTCTTCCATAAAAAATAATAAAAATTTATAATTTGTGACTGAGTTGGTATAAAGACAAATAAAATTATCCATTTATTATTATATTCATTATTAAGTTCTTTTTTAATTTAAAAGACATTAAAATGAAAACATTTTCATGAAGCCCTAAAAGTATTGTGGGCCCTAGTGCCTCCCATGCCTAAAGGTGAAGTCAGCCCTAATGGTGGACTCAGACAACAATGAGATTCAAAAAGTCCCAGTGAAGGCACACTAAAGATATCGCTGTAGCTCTTTTGTTGATGGGAACAATGGAGCTATTACCAAAATTATTCTTGCAGTAAAATATTATAGAGTGAAAACAGTGTGAAACCCTCTTGAGACGTCTAGTTAAGTAGCCATACCGAGGGACTTCTCTTCCTGGGTCCACAAGGCGCGTGGTTTCAAAGGCAGGAGTTTCTCGGCGCCACGCCTGCATCTGGGAACTAGAGGGATTTCAAGTGTAAAGTTTGATTTTCCTGCGGGCAAGGTACAGAAAGCCAGGTGAGGCTTGTTTGTCCCAAAATCCAGCGGAAAGAGCTGAGAGGCGTGGGCTCTGTAACTCAGGGCTGTGGACCAAGTAGCCAATCCAGTATCAGGGTCAAAGATCAATCACTCTTGAGGAAGTTTGAAAGAACTCCTCTCATTGGACGAGAACATGAATGGGGCGGGAATAACTCAAGGGTTAAAACTTCAGTGGCTCCTTACCCGTACTGCCAAAATGTAGTTTAAGATCTTTTTTTTCCTCAGCAAAGCAGTATTCCCTCCCTCCCCCACACACCCCCCCACCCCGCCCCACAGTTCTACACTTTCATAGACATTATTGACCCTCATGGAATTGAACATGAGCTGTTACCTATGTGATGGGACTTGAAATCCCTTTTCTTTCCTACTACATTATCAGCAACTATCTTTCAGTGTGACATTAGATTTATTTAAAATACCTCTTATTAGTTCTCCAAACTGAGACAGACTAAGTTAGTTATTAGTAGATGAACATCAGAGCTCTGATTTATTTGGCAGCTTTAGAAAACGACATGCTTAAATGAACACCCACATGGGAAGAGTCAAATAGATGGAAAAATATTTAATGATGTTAAATATTCAGTCAGTCAACAAATATTTGTTGCTCATCTGTCCTCTACCAGGTCCTGTGCTAGGCACTGGTCATAGAAATTTGAAATGAAAAAATACTTTTTATTTTAATCTACAACATTATTCACTCACAGTGTTACACATATGAGTGACAGTTTTTATTTTTGATTATAGAAGTAACATGTTTATAGAGAACAATTTGTAAATTATCCTTTAACTTAGACATTGCATTTTATTTTGTATGTATAGCACTTAAACATTCTTGGCTTTTATTTGTTTAAAAAATCGTTTCAGTGAGTGTACAGTTCTAAAAGTTGGCAGTTATTTTCCCTCAGCATTTTGAAGATATGTCACTATTTTCTAGCTTTCAGTGATTTTGCTGAAAAGTTAACATGTGAGTCTAATTTTAGCATAATTTGTCTTTTTTCCTAGAAACTTTTATAAACTTTTCTGTGCCACTTTACATCAATGTATCTAAGTAAACTATTACTTTTATTTATCTGGTTTGGGATTTGTTTGGGTTTCTGGACCTGAGAATTTAAACCTTCCTACCATTTTGGAAATTTCTCAGTGTTTTCTTGGATATTACCTTTCTTTATTCCATTGTCTTTTTCTGAAATTCTTAACCGAATATAAACTTCCGTATTATAGATCTTTCTTTTTTATCTCGTTTATCTCTGTCATGCATTTTGGGTAATTTCTTCAGATTTAATTTATAGTTTATAAATTTCCTTTCAGCTAGGTCTAACTGCTGTTTCACTTACTGACAGAGTTTCTCATTTTAATCAAATGTTTCCAAAGTCCATATTCTAATTCTTCAGTTTATTGTTTCTGCGAATTCTTGGTTATGGTGGCTTATATGTTCTGGCATTTAATGGTTTTGAGTTTGAGCTCATGTTTCCTGAAACTATCTGTATAAGAATTTTTTGTGTTCTGGGTTTACAATACTTACAGTAGAGAGGAATTGCATTTGCTATGCTGGGACTCTGCTTGGAGCAGCTTGTACAGAGTTAGATTTTCCCTACATCCTGCCCCCAAATTCCTCTAGGTTACCTCCATTCCATGGAGGTAGGTGGTCTGGTCATGGCATCCCCAGTAAAGGACTCCTATAGGGTGGTACCTTCTTAAGAACTGAAGTACCAAAAGCCAGGAAGCAAAGGGGAAAAAAGGGAACTAACTTTTGTTAAGTGGTTATTATATAACAAGGTCTAAAGTAGTTTGGAGCCAATCTATTTTTTAATTTGGAAAGTTTTTATAGCTATATCTTAAAGACTCCAACAACCTTACATCCACATCACTTGCTAAGTGACTCAAACAACTGGGGAAGCCTAGAATGAATCGGTCTCCTGAACATACTGGCCCTTTTAGACATCATCTTCTTCTTGACTCACAATTTTGTAGTAAATTCCAACACTAATTTAGCCTCTTGGGTTGTAGATTCAGGTTTCCCCAAGATCAATATATATATATATATATATATATATATATATATATGTTTATCACACCCTCTGGCAGGATGTACCAAGTGGCCAGGCAATAATAATTCCAGTTTTGTAACAATATACAGCTTAATTATATTCTTGTGACAATTCCAAAAGTTTGGCTTTACAGCCAATGTTGACAATGATTAAGTATCTATCGACATTTCTGACAAATGTCTTAACAATATTTCACAGCCTTCTTAATCCCACTAGATCAATAATCATACACAAACAACCAATATTTCCATAGGATAGTTTCCATATGGATCATTCCATATTAACTAGTAAAGCAGCATTTAAGATGAAATATTCAGCCTAAATGGAGAGGCATTAAGAACAAAGACCAGCTGTTGTGCCTATGCTTTTAGTGAATAAACAACTAGAATCAATAAAGCATTTGGACACATGGCTGAAGATGTACTTTGTGTGAGGAATGTGCTCTTGAGGGAAAATAACCTTTGCATTTGCATACAACCAATTTGAAAAATAAGAGAGAACCTTAAAAGCCAGATACCAGCCAGGTGCGGTGGCTCATGCCTGTAATCCTAGCACTTTGGGAGGCCAAGGCAGGTGGTTCACTTGAGGTCAGGAGTTCGAGGTCAGATCACTTGAGATCAGGAGTTCAGCCTGGCCAACATGGTGAAACTCTGTCTCTACTAAAAATACAAAAATGAACTGGGCTTGGTGGCATGCACCTGTAATCCCAGCTACTCAGGAGGCTGAGGCAGGAGAATCACTTGAACCTGGGAAGTGGAGGTTGAAGTGAGCCAAGATCACACCGTTGTACTCCAGCCTGGGTGACAAGAAAGAAACTCCATCTCAAAAAAGAAAAAAAGCCAGGTACTATCTTCAGCTACTTGACAGGAGGGAAAAGTGAAAGCTTTGAAAGTTATTGATTACAAGGCAGCCATGATAAACTGTTGAGTTTTAATTAAATTCTACACAGTGGCTATGAGGGCCCAGACCAAATATTGTCTTATGTTTTAGGAATCAAGCATTTATAGAGCCTCTTAGGGCATCTAAGTGGCCTGCCCATATTAGTTCTATGCTGCCCAATGTGGTAGCAGTAGCCATGTGTAGCTATTTAAATTTAAGCTGATTAAAATTAAGCATACCCGTCCGGCCCCGTCCCGCCAGCCATGAGCTCCACGCAGTTCAACAAGGGCCCCTCGTACGGGCTGTCAGCCGAGGTCAAGAACCGGCTCCTGTCCAAGTATGACCCGCAGAAGGAGGCAGAGCTCCGAAGCTGGATTGAGGGACTCACCGGGCTCTCCGTCGGCCCCGACTTACAGAAGGGCCTGAAGGACGGGATTATCTTATGCACACTCATGAACAAGCTCCAGCCAGGCTCAGTCCCCAAGATCAACCGCTCCATGCAGAACTGGCATCAGCTAGAAAACCTCTCCAACTTCATCAAGGCCATGGTCAGCTACGGCATCAACGCCGTGGACCTGTTCGAGGCCAATGACCTGTTTGAGAGCGGGAACATGACGCAGGTGCAGATGTCTCTGCTCGCCCTGGCGGGAAAGGCCAAGACCAAGGGGCTGCAGAGCGGGGTGGACATCGGCGTCAAGTACTCGGAGAAGCAGGAGCGGAACTTCGACGACGCCACCATGAAGGCCGGCCAGTGCGTCATCGGGCTGCAGATGGGCACCAACAAATGTGCCAGCCAGTCGGGCATGACCGCATATGGCACGAGGAGGCATCTCTACGACCCCAAGAACCATATCCTGCCCCCCATGGACCACTCGACCATCAGCCTCCAGATGGGCACCAACAAGTGTGCCAGCCAGGTGGGCATGACGGCTCCCGAGACGCGGCGGCATATCTATGACACCAAACTGGGAACCGACGAGTGTGATAACTCCTCCATGTCCCTGCAGATGGGCTACACCCAGGGCGCCAACCAGAGCGGCCAGGTCTTCGGCCTGGGCCGGCAGATATACGACCCCAAGTACTGCCCACAGGGCACAGTGGCTGACGGGGCTCCCTCCGATGCTGGCGACTGCCCGGGCCCGGAGGAGGTCCCTGAATATCCCCCTTACCACCAGAAGGAGGCGGGCTACTGAGGCTCCCAGCACGCTCTCTCCCCACGTCGTCTCCCCATCTCCCCGTCTGGGTTTTTCTGTTTTCACCATTTTTTTTTTTTTTTTTTTTTTTTGAGACGGAGTTTCTCTCTTGTTACCCAGGCTGGAGTGCAATGGCGCGATCTCGGCTCACCGCAACCTCCACCTCCTGGGTTCAAGCGATTCTCCTGCCTCAGCCTCCCGAGTAGCTGGGATTACAGGCGCACACTCCGTGCCCAGCTAATTTTTGTATTTTTAGTAAAGACGGGGTTTCACCATGTTGACCAGGATGGTCTCGATCTCCTGACCTCGTGATCCACCCGCCTCGGCCTCCCAAAGTGCTGGGATTACAGGATTGAGCCACCGCGCCCGGCCCTGTGTTTTCATCTTTTTTTATTAACCTGTTCAGTGCTGCCATGCAGCTGAGGGTCTGTGAGTGGTTGCTGGGATCAGGCAGCAGGGCTTTCTCCCCGTTGGTCCTTCCCAGGACTGAGCCACCGGGCTGGGAGGGGAAGGGGTCAAGGCTGTATCGTGATACCTGTAGGGTCAGAGCCCCTGATGGCACGTCCAGGCTGTGGGCCGAGCCGTGCTGGGGAGAAGAGGCCTGGGCTTGGAGGGAACCAGTCCCCGAAGATTTCCGGTTGCCTCGTCTCTTCTCACTTTCGTCACCCGATCAGTTTGTGGTTTCTGTACCCGCAAAAGTTTCAGGAAGTAGTAACAAAAGAAAAATACTCCCCTTCCCCCCCCCCCCCCCACCACCACCGTGGCCAAGGAATGGGGCGGGGACAGTGGGGAGGGTGCCGGGCAATGAGTCCCCTGGAAAGGGAGCCTGGCCATGATGCTGAATGTCTTAGGCTCCCAAGTGGCTGGATGTCCCTCCGACCCTCAGACCTTCCCTGGGGGCCTGGTGGGGAAACTGAGGCCTGCACAAGGAAGCGGAATTCTGAGTTGTCGGGGCCAAGCCTGACCCCGTCTCCACGCTACCCCACCCTCCCCGTGGCCTGTTGCACGGGCTGGAGTGCCGTGGGGCAACCTTCACTCACAGCACCTCAGCCTCCCACGTAGCTGGGACGGCAGGTGCTCCAGCACGCTGGCTACTTTTTGTATTTTTGGTAGAGACAGGGTTTCACCATGGTGGCCAGGCTGGTCTCGAACTCCTGGCCTCAGGTGATCCACCCCCCCCCCACCCCCGCCTCGGCCTCCCCAAGTGTTAGGATTACAGGCGTGAGCCCCTGTGCCTGGCCCCTCAGTAGGTTTTCAGGAGCCCCAGCCCTCCTCCTCCCCTTCTGGACCTGACCGGCTCTACTACTCCGTCTCCTCACCCCGGGGCCCCTGCTCCGTGAGATAATGTGAAACCCTACTGTGGACCAAATGCAATAAAGCCCGCGTGTAAGAAGAAAAAAAATAATAATAAAATTAAGCATAGTTTAAAATTTAGTTTGTCAGTCTCACTACAGGTTGAGTGTTCCTAAGTCAAAAATCTAGTATCTGTAATGCTGCCAAATCTCAAACTTTGAGTACCAACATGATGCTCCAATGAGCATTTCAGAGTTTTAATTTTTAAATTAAAGATGCTGAACTGGTAAGTATATATGATGCAAATACTCTAACATCTAAACAAAAATCCTAAATCCAAAACCCTTCTGGTCCCAAGCATTTTACATAAGGGATACCAAACTATACCTACATTTCAAGTGCTGAAGAGTTACATGTGGCTAGTGGCTACTGTCTTGGACAGCAGAGAGAGAGAACAGTTGCACCATTGCAGAAAGTTTTCTTGGACAGCACTGTATTAGATGTTCAATAAACAGATGTTGAGTGAATGAAAAAATGATTGTCCAACATTTAACAGGAGAGAAAAGATAATGTTTTGCGAAAAGTTGAGGCAGTCCTTTTAAAGAGAACAAAATCTTATTTGAGGGGAACAAAGAAAGGGATGAAGCGATAGAATGACATTTTAAGAAGTGTAATGTCACAATTTCATTGGATGTTGTCTGGATTTTGGTGACCAACTCCTCCTTTGAAATCTTCTATAAAGTTTGTTTTGTTTAAGAATAATTTTTTTGGGTAGAGACGTCATCAAGGAACTCAGTAAGGCCATGTGTTTCCTAGGAGAGTTAGCAAGGTGTAGAAAAGACAAAAAGACAGTAGACATAAGGAGGGAGGAGCCAGGAGAGGCAGGAGACCATAAGAGCATTTGTCCACCAAAGGCCAACAGGAAACTTAGGGACAGCTTTGATATTCCACAGGTCATGGAACTGGGCTCAAAGCCTGTTTTGTCTCTAATTAAAGTACCCTGGCTGACGTCTAGGCTCTACTTTCATACACTGTTTCAAGGGTTGGCAAATTATAGTCTGCAGGCCAAATCTGGCCTACTACCTGTATTTACAAAGCATACAGTCTAAGAATGATTTTTACACTTTTACATGATTCTAAAAAGTAAAATAAAAAGAATGTTTAATGACCCATAACACTTAACAGATAAATCAAATTTCACTGTTTATAAAAGTTTTGTTAGAACAGTCACCTCATTTGTTTATGTATTACCTATTGCTGACTTTGTGCTACAGTAGCAAAGTTGAGTGGGTATTACAAAGACCCCATGGCTTACAAAGCTTAAAATATTTATACTCTAGCCCTTTATAGAAATAGTTTGTCAACCTCTATACTATATCATCAATAGTGAGAGCAGAGATGTACATACTAGATACAGGGTTGAGTATCCTTGATTCAAAATGCCTGCGACCACAAGTGTTTTAGATTTTGGATATTTTCAGATTTGGGAATATGCACATTATATTCAGCATCCCTAATTTGAAAATATGAAATCCAAAATGCTCCAGTGAACATTTCCTTTGAGCATCAAGTCAGTGCTCAAAAAGTGTGAGATTTTAGAGCATTTTAGATTTCGAATTGTTGGATTAGGGATACTCTACCTGTATCACAAAACATCAAGGCAAGAAATGGGTTGCACTAAGGTATTCCTGATTCATGGGAAACCAGAACAAAGCAGAAGCTCTCATGAGAGATGAGGAGAAGTAGAGAATTACTTAGCAGAGAAAACAAAACAAACAAAAAACAACAAACTCTACATCAAATACAAACTGCTATTTTTTTTTTTAAAAAATGAGACAGAGTCTGGCTCTGTTGTCTAGGCTGGAGTGCAGTGGCACAATCTCGGCTCACTGCAACCTCTGACTCCCAGGTACAAATGATTCTCATGCCTCAGCCTCCCAAGTAGCTGGGATATAGGCATGCATCACCACACCCACTATTTTTGTTTCATATTTTTAGTTGAGAAGAGGTTTTGCCATGTTGGCCAGTCTAGTCTCAAACCTCCTGGCCTCAAGTGATCCACCTGCCTCAGCATCCCAAAGTGATGGGATTACAGGTGTGAGCCACCACACCCAGCCCAATCTGCTGCAATTTTCATACTATCTGCAATTTTTAAAAAAACTGATGATAGTATGAAATTGGATGGATAAACAGAAAACTTTGTGAGTTAAGCCAATTAATCATCTAAGTCTTCTGAGGATCAGTTCGACATTACATGCTCTTCACTCCTCATCTGGTTTTTTGGAAGTTCAAATGCAAAAAATATACTGGAAAGCACTTTGTTACAAGTGTGAGGTATAATTCCTACTGATAATAAGTAGGATAATGAAGTTGAATACATATTGGAGACAGATAACGTGAAAAACAATACCTCACATGGGAGTTAGTGGACAAAGTTTCCAAAATACCTAACAGAATATCACTGAGCTGCAGCCAGGGCCAGGTGACCTCCTCATAACAGGTAAATTCCAATTATGCCAAGCAGTCAACTGAATCAGCAACTGCCACTCACATGCTGTCACACCCCTCCAGCCTGTGGAAAAGGACAAGCTGTCCACCGGGCAGCAGACAACAAATTCCCATCTTTGATACAGAGCAGTCTACCACCAGATGCTGCAGGCCATTTGCTCAACAGATGTGTACTAAGTACCTCTCACAGGAAGGCCCTGTGCTAAAGTCAGGAGGACAGAAGGATGAGAAGCTGAAATGGTGGATCCTGTCTTTCAAAATGTATAATCTCCTTGGAACAATAAGAAAACATATTAGATTATTGATGATTATCAAGTGGCCAATGAGGAGTTCTGGAAACAAGTTATAGAACTGTTCAAAAAAGAATGAAGTAAAAAATCAGAAATAACCATGAAAAGCCTCCTAAAGAAGGTAGGGGAAATTGGATTGAAGCTTAAAGACTGATTGGAGCAAGGGGAAGGGGAAAAAGGCATCTCAGATGAGGAAGTGGAGAACCTATGGGTCCACATGGGATGGGAGAGATAAACACTCTAAAAAAAGGAGCAGTAAGCCAGGCTCAAGCAGATGGGTATGGTGGGGAGAATCTGGAGATGGGGCAGAAAAAGATAGGGAAGGATGGGGTTTTGGAAGATTTTTGAAAGTGAGGATAAAAGATTGTCCAAATGACAGTGAAGAAACTTAGCATATTCATATAAAGAGGAGTAAGAAACTGGCATTCATTAAAGCAACAGCACAGAAAAGAGTTTTAGAAGCACAAATGAGACAAACGTTTTATGATATTCTAGTAGGATAGAGATGAACAGCAAGAAACAAGAGTATACAACTTAGTCCTTATAAGAGAGGAAACATCAAATAGTGCTCCTGACAGTAAGATATAGCAAGGGTCTAGGAATAAAGGTGGAAATTGTGTAGCTAGTTCTGTAAATTTAGGCACATCACAGTACTTTACTTACAAAAGAACCTGATAAACATCTTTGAAAAGATGAGTACAAGCACTAGCCCAGGTTACTTGCTCCCCAGAAAAACTGTCCTATGCATCTGTGGAATCACAGATGTTCCTGACTTTACTGGACAAAGAAAGGATTACAATAAACGGGAAAGTGGCTCCAGAGGAGAGAGATTTAGAGGACACTTGCTAAAGTCATTGCTATGTTCTAAATGTTTGCATTCCCCAAAATTCAGATGTGGAAATCCTAACCCCTAAGATGATGGTATTAGAAGGTAGGGCCTTTGAAAGGTGATCAGGTCATAAGGGTAGAGTCCTCACGAATGGGATTCAAACCCTTATTTAACTATAAGAGGCCCCAGAGAGCTGCATTGCCTTTCCACCATGTGAGGACACAGCAAGAAGACATCATCTACAAAGTAGGAAACAGGCCGTCACCAGACACTGAATCTGCCAGCACCTGGATCTTCCATTTCCCATCTTCCAGAACTACAAGAAATAAATTTCTGTTGTTTTCAAGACACTCAGTTTATGATATTTTGTTACAGCAGTCAAAACAAATTAAGGAAGCCATCAACCCTAAATGACAGAAGGAGAGGCATTCTAAGTGGAGCTCAGGATACATCTTATTATCTCCTGACACAGCCTTTCCAAAGCTTCTCTCTGAATTTTTGAAGAAAATGTGGAGGAAGTGACATATTTAACAGTGACTCAAACAAACTATCTTTACTATTAGGGAAGCCTCAGAAAACACACAGCACAGTTACCCTCTTTAAAAAAAATTTTTGCTCGCCTTCCTTTTTGACTTAAGGTAGCATTTTCCATTTTAGTGTGGTAATAGAGCAAAATAATGGCTACACCAACCTCAGTAGCTCATAAGTGTCCACATCCTCATTGGTATGTTGAGAAACAGTAATCTGAGCTCTGAAGCTGGCAGAAGACCATCAGAAGGATGCACACATGAAGGGTCCGTGACCACCTGCCCATGAAGATGATACAAGGAGTTTA